GCTCGTTTCAACAGGCCAAATTCACAATCTCCTCGGCGGATGCACACCGAGTCAAGGTCAAAGAGAATCCTACCGATCCAATGAAAAAGTGCTAATACAAATCTATAATGAAATACCAACATGAGATAAAGCTGGCGGGCAGAGAATCGATTCTCGCACCTCTGCGATAGCAGCAATAATGGCTGTAAATAGTAACACAATGATGAAGGAACAAAGCGAGCTCCCCTGTCTCAACACAACAAACGTAAGGGAAAAAATAATATGGAAAATATATTCCATATGCATTTGCTTATCCAAGTTTAATATTTAAAGAATATGTAAATCTTTTGTAAGTTAGTTGAAGAGTGTAAACACTTTCAAGACATTCAACCAATGGAGTGCTAATAGGGGCGGAATAACCTGTGTGTCCGAACAATGGTAGATGAGTGGAGTGTTTGGTAATATTAGGTTTGCAATTCTGTTTGGTGCAATTAGTGGCACAGAAATCAAACAGTTCAGTTTTAAGATAATTAAGATAATTTCACCAACAAACCTGTGCAAACTGCATGTTGAGTCTCATCTGCTCTGCCAACACGCTCACATTGTGGAAAAGGTGTGGTTGCATGTGACTCCACATGTGTGGAAACCACCAGAATTCATGCCGGTGCTGCAACAGCATGTCGTCGCCTTCATCCTCCTCCTCTGTACCTGCAAAAACACATATACATACTGCTGAAGTTTAACAGTAAAGACATCTGGGTCTAAAAGAGCATAAGAAAAATCTGTTTGTTAGTTTGAACTTTGTATCATCAAAGAATCCTGACCAAAAACATATCAAATTTTACACAAAAATATTAAGCAGTAAAACTATTTTAAACATTGATAAGCAATGTTTCTTCAGCACCAAATCCGCATTTTAGAATGGTTTCTGAAGGATTATGAGACACTGAAGACTGGAGCAATCATGCTGAAAATTCAGCTTTGCCATCACATAATAACAATTTTATTCGAAGAATAAATGAAATTTTAACATCTATTAAAATAGAAAATAGTATTTTTGATCAAATAAAGTCAAGAACTTGGTGAGCATGTTTCTTAAAAAAATTTAATTTAATTAATAATAAATAAAAAAAATCTTACAGATGCCAAATGTTGCTTTGAAACTATTGTGGACATGGCTAGCAAAAGTGAATTCATTCTGAAGAACAACAGAAAATAGATCCGACCATAAATATCTTTTTTGTTGGTTTAACAAGATTCATATTGGTTGGTTTAACAAGAATCAGATTTAAAGGGGTCCTATTATGCCTTTTCACTTTTTTAATTTTAGTCAGTGTGTAGTGTGTATGTTTGGGCATAAAAAAGATCTAGAAAGTTACAAATCTCAAAGTCCACTCCAAAGGGAGATATTTAGTTTTTTAAAAATCCATTTTCAAGAACTACAGCAAACGGCTCGTTTGGACTACAGCGTTTGGTTTCCGGGCTTTGTGATATCACAAAGCGGCTCATTGGAATATCATTACAAAGAATTCCCACCTACAGAAATTTGATTGGTTGGGGGGTGGGGAAGGCGGAGGTCGTGGTTAGAACGCTTGGTTGAGTGAGCGCATCAGACGAGACGATGAAGAAGAAGTGCTGCTGTGCTGTAGCCTCACATTTTTGGCATGTCTAGAACAGCGGTTCTCATTTCCAGTCCTCGCGTACCCCCGCTCTGCACATTTTGTATGTTTCTCTTATTGCTTCATACGTTTGTTATATTTGACTGTAAGTGCCCTGCAAAGTGGACATCGGATATTCCTCCATGGTTCCAGTTTGAAGGGAGCATATATGTTCCATACAAAGGGCATTTAAGTGTGCGAGACGTGATTGTAAATTGTATTTATTTACAGAGGTATATTTTGTCCCACTTCACGCTTCTCTAGTAAGTTTCGTATGTGTGTGAAGACGCTGCAGGCAGCAGCGCAAATCTGTAAATGAATATTCCGAAGTGAAGTAAACTTCAACGGATTTCCCCTGCTCAGGGAGTAGGGAGCAATGGACACTGTGTAGGGAGCATGTCAATCGGAACAGTTCATGCACGGAGCTCACTTCTAACGAGATGATCTGAATCAGGTGTGTTAACAAAGAGAGACGTGCAAAACATGCAGAGCGGGGGTACGCGAGGACTGGGATTGAGAACCGCTGTTCTAGAACAATTCTTACAAATATAACACGACGTGAATTTTAAAGACGTGGCACGACTCTGCGCTTCTCGTCCGGTGCGCGACCACCTGAAATGCTGTTTTTTTCACTTCCGTGCCCGAACGTCTTTGTTTTTGTTGAAAGACAGAGCAAGAGGCGGGGCAGTACTGAAACACCGTCTAAGCTGTTCGCCAATCACAACGCACTGGGACAGCTAACCAATCACAACACATTTTGTTTTTCGGAAGGCGGACCTTCATCAAAGCTGGAACTAATCGAGCCGTTTGTGCCAGCCTGGGGAGAAAGGTATTTTAATAATGTAAATTATGTGAAAAATAATGCGTTTTTCGAACCACCAAGCATGAGAGCATGTTCTAGTACACCCCCAAAACAAAATCAAGACTTTGTAAAAGAGCATAATAGGACCCCTTTAAGATAAAAAATGTCTGATTTCTCCTGAGGTTTAAACAAATGCTAAAGTCTCTTAAAAAACAACAAGAAAAGGGAAAAAAGTACCTGCATGGTAGAACTTCCCGGAGAAGCCAAGATTGAAGGTGAAGTTGGGAACTAGTGTCTGCAGTTTATTCTGTGTGTTGAGCAAAGCCTTGAAAATGGAAGAAAAGTTATCACTTTAATAACACAATATCAAAGTCCTGCCTAAAATCTGAATAAGATTAGCAATATGCCAAGAACAAAAACAACAACATTTGACTTTACTCTGAGCTGGGCTTGAAGGCAAAAACAACTAGTGTGGTGTTAAACGAATCTCTCCAGTACCTTAGGCATTCACATTAATAAATGTATGAGTTAAAGTCACCAATAGATGTCAGTGTGGTGCCAATTCAGCCCTTTGAAGAAAAGAAGAACTTTCAGGCCTTCGGCCAGATCGACAGACTGAGTGGGATGTGAAATATACATTTGCATTCAAATCTCCTCTACCCACGGGCAGGTCAGACGCGCCGAATAAAGCCTTAACATCAATCTAAACTCATCCTTGCAAAATGAACAGATTTCATAACTTAGCATCACTGCGCACATCTAGCTAACGACGGCCCTGCGAGGCTTGAAATACAAAATGATCCTGCCATCAAGCCCTTCAAACCCTGAGAGTGATACGGGTGTATAAGCGAATTACAGCGCTGTTCCAGCACAAATCAGACGGCGGGGAGAGATAGTGTCGCTTCCCGCACAAATCTAACACAAAGCCAAGCTGATAGTTGCAGCAGTATCACAAATCAAGCCGTGCTGCTGGGGAGAGAAGGCTGCTACTTCGCAATGAAGAGATGGCATCTTTCGCTGATTTAAGATTAGTGTCCCTGATTATGAGTGTATCCAATATCTGTTCTGCCTTGAGTGTGTTTGCTCAGCATATTCCTGCTGTTTTTATGGCAATCTGCGAGCCATCCAAGATTGCATGGTGATGTCCAGGGTGGACAGATTCAGTAGTGTGAATCATCTTTGACAGGTTGATAAAAGAAGAGTTAGTTTGAAAAAGAAAAAAGATGCTACCCGTTTTTCTTTGCACAATCAATAACATTGTTCAATGAGTTATGACAGAGAAACAGCCAATATGGCAAGAGGACAGAAGGGCTAGAGGTCAGAACATAGCTTTTTTTTCACCACTGACCTTTGCGGTCACAACAGACTTGGCTCAGAACTGCAGCAACACTACAGAAACATTTTCATACCTGAATATTATTTTCTTCCCATAGCCCATCTGATTATCTCTTAACCTAACAGACTAGAGTTAAAAATGGTTGCTAAGACAAGATTCAGCTCCTGCAGATAGAGTGACCAGATGCACAGCAAAGCCAGTCCAATGTCACATCGGGCAAAGGCATCACATTTGGACAACAGAGATGGGCAAAACTGTCATTCCCTTACAGATCAACTCTTCTCTCAGTACAGCTGACACTCAATGGTCACATGAAGTCTCTAAAGCCTTGTTTAGATGTCAGTACAAATCAGATTTTTGTTCTTATCCGATTGGAATCCAATCGAATTGATTGACTGTCCACACTGTGTATCGCAAATTGATTGAATTCAATTTGTGTCCCGGAGCGCTCTTTCGTTTGACATCTGCATTGGTTTCTATGGCAATGCCTCTGCGTTGTTATGCCTATGCTTCAAACAGCAACCCCAGCAATAGAGTTTGCAATACAGATGTTGTCTTACGACATGACAACATGTTGCCATCGTGCTGGATTATATTTCATTGTATGAGGCAGCGGCAGAAATGCAGAAAGCTGGAATGTGCGACTTTATTCCGTGCTGCCGTCTCCGCTGCTTTCAAAACTCAAAGAGGTGCTTATACTAGAAGTATATCGTCTTTTTCCACTTGACTTGCACTTCGCAACAACACATCTTTGTTTCTGCAAAGATGTTCAGCATGTACAAAAACGTCTGATGTGTTTATGTTTTACGTGGCATGAGAACGTGAAAAAGATAGGCTAAATCTGATCTGACCGGTCAGACTGAAACGGATTTCCAGGAATGCGATTTGAATAGGATTTCAAACCACATATGAATGTAGCTCGAAATGGATTTGCAAAAATCAGATTTCATGTAGTTCATTGCTGTTCAGGCTAAACATGATTGGATTTCAGACAGTCTGAACGAGGCTGATGTACAGCTGGACGGTCAAATAGCTCAAATTCACAACTGTGAAAATCAAGACAACATTGTCAAGTACACAATACAACTACACATTACTCTTATTATATAGCAGCAATCAGGGTCTGAAGTAATTAAAAACACATTTTTAAACGGGAACTATTTTTAATGTCTATTTATTTATTTTCTTATTTCTGAAGCAAGATGAACCGAAAAGGTGAGATATTATTCAGTTAGATGATTCCCATCTGTGTTATTTAACTTGATAGACTTAAAAGTAAATTCAAGGAATAGTTTACCTAAAATGTAATTTCAATAATAATTTTTTGACATTACAATTATTTGTAATTTTGGAGCTTTTACATTCATTATATTGAACAAAGTGGCCATGTAATTGTTTCTCTTTTGTGTTACACAAAGTCAGTCATATGGGTTTGAAATGACATGAGGCAGAGTAATGACACATAAATAACTGAATATGTATTCTTGTGTAGGCTATTCCTCTAATATAAGAGAAATACAGTGGTGTGAAAAAGTGTTGGCCCCCTTCCTGATTTCTTATTTTTTTGTGTACCATGTTATCTCAGCCAATACATTATGTTAAGAACATAAATTTTGCCGGTTACATCACAGGCTGAGATGAAGAGTATGAGAGATCAATGTGAATGCTTACAGGTAAACAACACTGAGCAGCCTAATAACTTTTAACAGGTTAGATCACCCAAAAAAAAACGAAAATTCTGAAAATGAAAATCATTCACTCACTCTCATGTTGTTCTAAACCACAGAAGAAAGTCATACAGGTTTGGAATGCCATGAGGGTGAGTAAATGAAGCCCATATTCATTTTTGGATGTACTAAGTTAGAAAAGACACTCACCTTCACATCTGTCACCTTCATACGTGTACCCTCCTTTCCCACAAATATATCATCCACGTCAACCAGCAGATGCCTCTCCAAGGACAGGCAGAGTCTTTTCCCTGTCAGATAGGCTATGGCATCCACAAAAATCAACTTGTGCAGCCAAAACGATATATTGTTACCAAACAGCACCCTTTGAATGCCGTCGTGAAGGCCAAGGTCCTGAACTACAGTGGCATGAAGGGCTCGGTGGGGCCCCAAATGGGCCAGTGCCTCTGAGGATTTTGTGAGAGCCAGGAGCACGGGCTCGTAGGTGCTATGGTTAGACTGAAAGACTGTCCAGTCATCGCCAGGGAGTGGGCCCTGCTCCACCTCATTGGGTTTGGTGATGTACAGTAATGGGGCAGCAGGGTTGATGTGGTAGTCCCGTAGGCCCAGGTTAGAGTGCAGGAACAGCGGGAAGCCCTTCAGCTGGGCACTAAGCAGCGAGTTCTCGTTGGCTTTGAAGAAGCCGATGATGCCTACATCAAATTCAGCACAATATTTATCCAGTAGGTCACGGTTCCAAGCATCCAAGTTGACATACTTGAGAATGTTCTCATAAATGACCAGGGCGTAGCGGCCGACATCACGTTCCATCAACCCATCAACGTCCCCCTTGCTGGGTGCAATCTCAGTGTGGTAACGGAAGCGACTGGACTCAAGGATAGCCACAATCTCTTGATCTCTTGTAGAGTAGATGCTTTCTACAAAGACCAGCACCACAGGCTCTGTTCGAGAGTTATCCACTGCTTTAACCGTCCTCTGCCGGACTGTGAAAGGGGGCAGGAAAAGAGGAGCCCGTTGCCCTCCTGCTGCGGCCGCGACAACCCCACCACAGTCACTGAAAGGCATAGGGGGCGCCTCCTTTATTTTAGGGCTGTTGCTGACAAAGTATGCCAGGAAAGCCATGGAGAGCAGGCAAAATACGATGAGCACCAGGATAAGGCGGTGGAGCTCGAGTTGCCTGACACCCCGCACTAACTTCCACAGCCCCATGGCCACAGCGCAAACACGGGACTGGGGAAGAGAGGGGGGCAGAGGGGAGGCTGAGAGCCTGACCGTCACAGAGATCGCAGCAAGAGGAGGACAACAGCGAGGAAAAGAGAAGGAAAAAGGAAAAGGGTTGAGCAGCAGACACCAGCACAAGCTTTGGGTCAGGAGTAGCCATTTATGCTAGGTCACCATGGCCCCCATAGCCTATGACGTGTGTCTTTGCTTTGATTGCTGCTTCTAGCCCCGGTCCTCCAGTGAGGTTAGTCAGTTCTTTCACCCCCACCACGCGTTCCCGGAGTGCACTTGCTCTCGGCTGGCGTCTTGGGCCTGGGATAAGAGGACTGGGTTTCTTGATCACTCTCGACACTCCTCCTCCACTACTCGGCAAAGGATCAGCTGTTTTTCTGCCGACTTTTGCGTTGCTGTGTGCCGAGCTTTCAAATAAGCACGTGCCTCTCAGTGCAAAGGGGCTCTTTGGGATTTGCTGGAGAGCTTCAAGGCCAGTGCTTCTCTTGCCCCGCTGGCCTCAGCAGTGGATGCTCTGAGGGTGTTCACCACTGGGGCGGAATGGCGAACATTGGCCCCTGTAGAGGCCCAGCATGGATGACCACATTCACCATTGGGCAGGAAGAGCCAGAGCCTGAAAGGAAGAGAGAGGAGAGATGCAATCAGTCCAAACATTATCAAGTACCTTTAAAGAGTGCATGAATCGGGGGAAGCAAGCAGATCTGACGAAGTGTTCGTAGCCTAGACCAAATTTTGCTTCACTCTTCCAAGCAGCTTTTTTCTCATGACTCCTAAAATAGTCCTGGAGCCGTTGACCTCCAGTAAGATAGCATTACAGGTGGGATAGAGAGATCACTGACCTTATAGGTAGGTGACTTGAACAGTTTAAAAGGTGAACTTTGGACCCACATAGAACTAATTAGAGCATGGGAGGGCAGATGATGGGTAATTCAAAACTTTCTGAAAATGAAAATCATTCACTCACTCATATGTTGTTCTAAACCACAGAAGAAAGTCATACAGGTTTGGAATGCCATGAGGGTGAGTAAATGAAGCCCATATTCATTTTTGGATGTACTAAGTTAGAAAAGACACTCACCTTCACATCTGTCACCTTCATACGTGTACCCTCCTTTCCCACAAATATATCATCCACGTCAACCAGCAGATGCCTCTCCAAGGACAGGCAGAGTCTTTTCCCTGTCAGATAGGCTATGGCATCCACAAAAATCAACTTGTGCAGCCAAAACGATATATTGTTACCAAACAGCACCCTTTGAATGCCGTCGTGAAGGCCAAGGTCCTGAACTACAGTGGCATGAAGGGCTCGGTGGGGCCCCAAATGGGCCAGTGCCTCTGAGGATTTTGTGAGAGCCAGGAGCACGGGCTCGTAGGTGCTATGGTTAGACTGAAAGACTGTCCAGTCATCGCCAGGGAGTGGCCCCTGCTCCACCTCATTGGGTTTGGTGATGTACAGTAATGGGGCAGCAGGGTTGATGTGGTAGTCCCGTAGGCCCAGGTTAGAGTGCAGGAACAGTGGGAAGCCCTTCAGCTGGGCACTAAGCAGCGAGTTCTCATTGGCTTTAAAGAAGCCGATGATGCCTACACCAAATTCAGTACAATATTTATCCAGCAGGTCACGGTTCCAAGCATCCAAGTTGACATACTTGAGAATGTTCTCATAAATGACCAGGGCGTAGCGGCCGACATCACGTTCCATCAACGTAGGCATGTCCCCCTTGCTGGGTGCAATCTCAGTGTGGTAACGGAAGCGACTGGACTCAAGGATAGCCACAATCTCTTGTCCTAGCTGAGAGTAGATGCTTTCTACAAAGACCAGCACCACAGGCTCTGTTCGAGAGTTATCCACTGCTTTAACCGTCCTCTGCCGGACTGTGAAAGGGGGCAGGAAAAGAGGAGCCCGTTGCCCTCCTGCTGCGGCCGCGACAACCCCACCACAGTCACTGAAAGGCATAGGGGGCGCCTCCTTTATTTTAGGGCTGTTGCTGACAAAGTATGCCAGGAAAGCCATGGAGAGCAGGCAAAATACGATGAGCACCAGGATAAGGCGGTGGAGCTCGAGTTGCCTGACACCCCGCACTAACTTCCACAGCCCCATGGCCACAGCGCAAACACGGGACTGGGGAGGAGAGGGGGGCAGAGGGGAGGCTGAGAGCCTGACCGTCACAGAGATCGCAGCAAGAGGAGGACAACAGCGAGGAAAAGAGAAGGAAAAAGGAAAAGGGTTGAGCAGCAGACACCAGCACAAGCTTTGGGTCAGGAGTAGCCATTTATGCTAGGTCACCATGGCCCCCATAGCCTATGACGTGTGTCTTTGCTTTGATTGCTGCTTCTAGCCCCGGTCCTCCAGTGAGGTTAGTCAGTTCTTTCACCCCCACCACGCGTTCCCGGAGTGCACTTGCTCTCGGCTGGCGTCTTGGGCCTGGGATAAGAGGACTGGGTTTCTTGATCACTCTCGACACTCCTCCTCCACTACTCGGCAAAGGATCAGCTGTTTTTCTGCCGACTTTTGCGTTGCTGTGTGCCGAGCTTTCAAATAAGCACGTGCCTCTCAGTGCAAAGGGGCTCTTTGGGATTTGCTGGAGAGCTTCAAGGCCAGTGCTTCTCTTGCCCCGCTGGCCTCAGCAGTGGATGCTCTGAGGGTGTTCACCACTGGGGCGGAATGGCGAACATTGGCCCCTGTAGAGGCCCAGCATGGATGACCACATTCACCATTGGGCAGGAAGAGCCAGAGCCTGAAAGGAAGAGAGAGGAGAGATGCAATCAGTCCAAACATTATCAAGTACCTTTAAAGAGTGCATGAATCGGGGGAAGCAAGCAGATCTGACGAAGTGTTCGTAGCCTAGACCAAATTTTGCTTCACTCTTCCAAGCAGCCATGTGATTTTGCTATTAGTGTGACTGCTGATGGGGATCACTACATTACCACAGTGTCTTCTTTTTTCTCATGACTCCTAAAATAGTCCTGGAGCCGTTGACCTCCAGTAAGATAGCATTACAGGTGGGATAGAGAGATCACTGACCTTATAGGTAGGTGACTTGAACAGTTTAAAAGGTGAACTTTGGACCCACATAGAACTAATTAGAGCATGGGAGGGCAGATGATGGGTAATTCAAAACTTTAATTGGAACGCACTGTTTGTAAATTTGAGAATATCTTAACTAATCTCCATAGGAAAGAGCAAGCTACAGTTAGATCGAGTTTCAAGACGCTGGAGATGGAAATCATTGGATCGCAGGCACATTTTCTCCTTCCTCTCCCCACCAAGAGAGGCTTTGTCAGCTTACAGCCAGCTATCAGTCTCTGACATGATCAATGCCAGCCATGCTGTAACTATAAATCAGGCTAGCACTTAAAGGATCGTTTTTCCCACAGATGAACAAGCATAGCCTGTGCTTTGGTCAAAGGCACCTTGTCTAGGACGGGTGATAAGCTAAAAGAGAAAAATAAAGGAAATGAGAGAAAAAGCATAAGGAATGAAAAGATGCTAGAAACTAGAAACAGACCTTCACTTCCACCTTCAAAGGCTAATAATAAATGCAAAGAATCTTAATGTGGTAATTCACCTGTCTGGAAGGAGGCAAAGATAATTATAAAGAGAAAAGGAGAATGGCGGCGAAGTGCTCAGCTGCAATAAATTTATCAAACTCAGAATGAACCCTACAGAGGAACACATCCTGATACGGAAAGCTAGATTATTATTAGCCTGGGAGCACTCTAACCTCACTGACCAGTTCTCCATCAGTTCAAAACACACACACAAGCAAACACAAGTGCACACAAACAGCAGGTTTCCATCACGACACGTTGCAATTCATGAGGTCATAAAGATACACCCAGGTCAGTGTGTCCAATTCAACATTATATTATCTGTACGGTAAAGCAACAGGATGAGCGAGGGGGAACGGCAGCCCTGAATCATTGAGCAGAATGGTTTCACATACAATATTTGACCACTCTTCTTTGCAGAACTGCTCAAGTTCAGTTAAATTTGATGGTGACCATTTGTGGACTGCAGTCTTCAAGTCATTCCACAGATTTTCAATGGGGTTTGAGTTTAGGTTCTGACTAGGCCATGCAAGGACATTCACCTTTTTCTCCTTCAATCACTGTGTGCTGTTTTGCTGTGTGTTTTGGGTCATTGTCATGTTGGAAGGTAAACCTTTTTCCATTGACAACTTTCTAGCTGAGGGCTCAGATTTTCCTCAGGAATTTGATGTATTTTGCCCCATCAATTTTTCCTTCTATCCTTCTAAGTGCTCCAGTCCCATAACAGGATATTACCACCTCCATGTTTTACTGGAGGAATGCTGTTATTTGGATGGTGAGCTGTATTGGATTTTCGCCAGACATATCACTTGGTGTTGAGGCCAAATAACTCAATCTTCAAGGTGCGTTTTGGCAAAGCACGGTTGTGACTGCATGTGACCTTTCTTGAGGAGTGGCTTTTTTCTTGCAACCCTCCCATAAATCTACATTTGAGGAGAATTTGTGATATTGTTGTCACATGCACACAATGTCATAAATTCCTGCAACTGCTTCAGAGTTGCTGTAGGCCTCTTGGTCGCCTCTCTGACCAGTTTCCTCCTGGCTCTTTCATCCAGTTTGGAGTGACGTTCTGAGGGAGGGTCTGTGTTCTACCAAATACCTTCTACTTTACTGTGCTTCTAGGCATTGATACAGCCTTTGAACATTTTTTTTGCATCCATCTCCTGACTTGTGCCTGTTCACAACTTTATCCCGGAGATCTTTTGACAGTGCCTTGCCACCCATAGTTGATCATTTGCTTCAGTTGCACTACCATGGACTGAAATGCTCCAGGAAAGCTCTTTTCATGCTGAGCTAATCAAAATCACCACAGCTCATCAAAGTTGAAAGTCAAATGGCTTTGTGTGCCATTGAGAAGGTGATTAGCTACACCTGAGTTTACAAGTCATTTTAGGAAGGGGGGTGATCCGTTTTCCAACTCAGTGATTCTGTTTTTTTCCCCTTTTTTCTGACATGTTGGTGTTATATCTTTCACTTGGATGTTATAAGTTGCACTGAGTAAATACAGCTGAATAAAACAAAAACTGTGTTCGTCTTCATTTCTGGCTGCAAAGCACCTGGTTAAGACACTGTGTTAAATGTACATCGCAAGATTACCAACCAGGAGGGAGCTAGTTCCTCTGGTGCTGCATAAATTACCCTGCAAGACTGCCATGCCTCACTGACCCATGAGCAATATGACCTCTGACCCCTAATCCATACTGGCTGAGCTTGTATGTGGGCCATGTGGGGTCTCAGATTTCCAGTGGTGGACGAAGTACACAAATCAAGTACTTCAGTAAAAGTACAGATACGTATGATAGAATATTACTCCAGTAAAAGTACTCCTTTTTTAATTTTACTTGAGTGAAAGTACAAAAGTACTCGATTTTTTATGTACTTAAGTAAAAAA